CCATCTTTCTGCCACAAAGTTGCGTATATCTCACCCGAACTTCCTCCTCCTTCGTTTATATACTTTCACCCCCTCTTACTTACTTGTTTGTTGACATTTTTCCTCTGCCCCATCATACCTCTTGCTATAACTGCAGGCTACAACTAAATAATCATCCCAATAAATCAGTTTGCACCCTCTATAAACATGTATATCCCTGGAGCCTACCCATCAACCTTTTATCCACCAAGTACATAATCTAACAAACTACTTCCATTACGTGCTGCATCATACCTTGTATATTATCTAGCCACTTTTACGTGAAATATGTATTACTTATTACCAAACCTCTTTCTTACACTTAGCTTCGATAAAAGGCTCCCCATTTACATTACCCTGGCACTCCAATTTTACCTACTACTCTCTCGACACCATTTTACCCACTTCAGCATTGAAATCCCAACCACAAGTACTGCTCACACCGGTTCAAAACTCCCCCATGCATTCACGTCAACATTTCCCAAAATCTCTCTCTCCTCTACATTCTCTCTCTTCTCCAGTGCTATACGCTTACTATAATAATCCACTTTTCACATCCAACCTTTATTTTATTCCACATAATCCTTGAATTAATACATTTATACTCCCTCTTTTCCTGCCATAGCATATCCTTCAATATTATTGCTACTCCTTTAGCTTTAACACTGTTTGAAACCCCTGACCTAATCCCATTTATTCCTCTCCAATGAAACTCTCCAACCCCCTTCAGCTTTGTTTCACTTAAAGGCAGGGCATCCAGCTTCTTCTCATTCATAACATCCACAATCATACGCTGACATTAGTGGTCACCTGCGGTCATACCTGCCTAAGCTCTTGGGAATTAGCGTGGGCTGTTACCAAGCCCAATGGCTTGTTGTAGTGTTTTAGAATCTCAAGTTCAAGTGTTGAAGAAGGAGATTCTACTTCTTCAGGAGGAAAATAGGAGGGTGAAGCATCGCATAGACGAGTTTGAGAGTGAGTGTGAGAAGGATTTAGCTGGTAAGGAGGAAATGGTCACCAGCAGTGATAGTGGCAGCGGCTTTAAGTGGCTCTGGTTCACAGTTCAGCAAGAAGGAAGATGAATAGAGTTAATAGAGAAGATGTGAATTTAGGAAATCGATTCTCTGTTCTCCAAGACGAGTGTACTTCAGTGGTTAGTGAGGTTGAAGTTACCACTGATTCCCCTGCAAATCAAGGTAAGAATATTTTAATAGTAGGCGATTCTCAGGTAAGTTATATGGATGGTGCATTTTGTAACAGAGACAGAAAGGTCAGACAGAGAGTGTGCCTTCCTGGAGCTGGTGTTGGTGACATAGTCAGCAGGTTGGATAATATTGTGGCAGGTAATGGGAACAAGCCCATTATCTATCTTAGTGCTGGGGGTAATGACATTGGGAAGGGCAGGAGAGAGGAGCTGCTGGATAAGTACAGGTCAGCCATAGATGTAGTTAGGTCTAAGGGAGGGATCCCAGTCATATGTAGCATCTTGCCTAGAAAGGGAGTGGGCAATGAATGGATGTCTAGGGCAATTGATATAAATTGCTGGCTAGAGAGGTACTGCAAGGAACTTGCAATCCCATTCATTGATAACTGGGACCTATTATTTGGCAAACATAATATGTATCCAAGGGATGGGGTTCATCTCTCTGGGGATGCAGTGGTTGCATTAGCCAATTCAATTGAGAGGGTAATTGATGACTTGTCTAGGAATTTAAACTGATAGATTAGGGAGGTATGGGTGTTTGAGGGAAACAGTTAGGTTGCAGCATTAGGGTTAAAAACAGTAGTTATTACCGGGATACCTCAGGGAAATGTTTAAAAGACAATATTCAAAATAAAGTTGCTAGTAATGGCAAATCAAATGATCAACAAACAAAGAGAGATAGTAGAGGGCAACGAGTGACTAGCTCCCTTAAGGTTTACTATACAAATAGCAGGAGTCAAAGAAATAAGGTAGATGAGCTAAGATTACTTGCAGGTGCAGGTAATATAGATATTATTGGTATAACAGAGACCTGGTTCAACCTGAAAGATAGAGAAATGCCTTCTGAATGCAACATACAGGGTTATAAACTATTCCACACTGATAGGGTCAACAGGAAGGGTGGTGGAGTGGCGATCTTTGTCAGAGATAATTTAAATTGTTGTCTTACACATGATATAAGATTAGAGACATCGAACACAGAATCTGTTTGGCTACAGTTTCTCGAGGGACGTGACAAATTAATTTTGGGTGTGATTTATAGACCCCCAAAACCTTGATAGGGAGTGCAGTAAGCTGTTATGGGACGAAATTCGTAAGGCATCCAGATATGAAAATGTTGTGATAATGGGAGATTTTAACTTTAGACAAATTGATTGGAGCAATATGACAGGAAATCTTGAGTCTAATGACTTTCTTGATACGGTTCAGGATTGCTTTTTAGAACAGGTTGTGACAGAACCAATTAGAGGAAACAATCTGCTTGACTTGGTTCTTGCCAACAAAGACTCACTAATTAATAATCTTGAGGTTAATGATGAGCTTCGGGAAAGTGATCATAAATCACTTACTTTCAATATATCATGGAATTACCCAGATAACTGCAATCAAATCTCTGTCCCAGATTTTCGCTTGGCCGACTTTATAGGACTGAAAAATTACCTGGGTGGGCAAAATTAGGATGTCCTGACTGGGTCTGGTAGGTGATCTTGGGTGCCAATATGACGTTTTTCAGAGCATAGTTCTAGCTGCCCAGACAACTTTTGTTCCGTGTAGGGAAATTAGATCTAACAAAAATGACCCCAAATGGAGGAACAATAGATTAAAACATTTCATTGGTTCAAAAGAAGGGAGGCATATATAAGAGGCCCCCGTTGGGCAGGTTAGGAAATCAATATATTCAATTAAAAGAGGAAAAATTAAAGAAGGGAATAAGGAAAAGCTAAAAGAGGATTTGAGGCTAAGGATCGCAAAGGGATTCAAAGGCTAACCCAAAAAAAGGGTTCTTTTCAGGTGTACAGAAGTAAGATTTAGGGACAACCATTGGCCCACTTAAGAGTAACTCTGGCAAATCACTGACAGTTGATAAGGATATGTGTGATGAAAAATTCTCAATACCTACTTCCTCTCAGTTTTTCACCCAGGAAAATACTAGTGGTATTCCTGAAATAATAGATTTTGTATAGAAACAGGATTAATAAACTAATGTACGTTTGTGGTAACTTGTGTACATGGCCCCAGACAATAGAGAAACTAAAACCTAACCTGATGAATGTTGCAAGGGTTTGTTAAAGGGAATGTAAAGAGGAACTTAGCATACCTTTGGCTAATTCTTTTTCAAATATCAATACAAACTGGCCATAGAGCCTGTGAATAAGTGGAAAATGGCAAATGTAAATACCTATTTACAATGCATGTGACATGGTCCTTGGCTTCGAACTTTAGTAGACAATACGCCTTACCTCCATAGTGGGGAAAGAAAAAAAAATTATGGAAATCAATAATTAGCCGCAAAGCAATCGGTTAGCCTTCTTGAATAGCACTGATTGATTAATGAAATCTTCCAACACGGTTTTCCAAAGGGGGGCGTTTTCCTGTCTTCGAGTTTTACCTAACTTTTTTCACTAGGTGTTTGAAGAAGGTAGATTCATGGTAATAAATACGATATGTGTATATGGACTTCAATAAGGCTTTCGATAGAGTCCACATTCAGAGGCTATTGAGGGGAAACTTCAAGGGCACACGGAATAGGAAGAGAAATTTTTTCATGGGTAGAGAGGCTTGGCTGAGAAATAGGCAGCAGAGAGTTGGCATAAATGGGGGGAGAAATCAGAATGGGGGGCACGTAACAAGCGGTGTTCCTCAGGGGTTAGTGTTGGGGCCCTGTTGTTGTCACAATTTACATAAACGACATAGATTGAGGGAAATAAATAGCGACCCATAAGCAAATTTGCTGGGATGGTACACCAAATAGGCCGTCGAATCAGCTAATGAGGGACACACAGACAACTCCAGGATGATTTGAATAGACTGATGCCTCAATGGTCGGAGATGAAGTGGCAGATGCAGTTTAATATTGACAAATGCCAAAGTTTCTAATGTTGGACAGTTTAAATAACCCATGCCACATAAAATAAACTAAATATGTAGATCTTAAACTATGTTTGCGAAAAAAAGGATTTAGGAGTTTCTAGTAGAAGTAAGGTAACCTAAAACCAAGACAACAGTGCATTAGTTGTTCGCAATAAAGCTAACACCGAATTCTTTGGCTTCATAATCTAGAAGTATAAATAATAGGAAGTCCTCAGGTTGTTCCTTTCAACTCTATATATCCTTGGTTAGGCCTCTCATTTAGACTATGCTGCTCAGATTCTGGTCACCGTAATGAAACAAAATAGACCGGAATGAAGGCAAAATAAGTCGCCAGGATCTTGATGATATATTTAATATTTTATTATATATATATATATATATATATATATATTATATATATATATATATATATATATATATATATATATATATATATATAAATATATATATATATTATATATAAATATATATATATATATATATATATATATATATATATATATATATATATATATATATATATATATATATATATATATATATATATATATATATATATATATTCATTAATGAAAAATGACTATAATGTTTTTAAAACTTTGTAATATGTAAACTGCTTCAGTGTTACATATACTTATATTCACTTGATAATTCATGCTAATGGAAGTTTGTAAAATAAGGTAGCCAACCTCAGCTTAAAAGTGCAATGTTACTATTTAAAACAGAGAGAGAGAGAGAGAGAGGGGGGGAAGAGAGAGAGAGGAAGAGAGAGGAAGAGAGAGGAAGAGAGAGAGAGGAAGAGAGAGAGAGGAATAGAGAGAGGAAGAGAGAGAGGGAGGGAGAAGAAGAGAGAAGGAGGAAGAGCGAGAGAGACTACTAAACCAACATAGAACACAGTGATATTTACCTTTCTGATGACATAAGGAGTGCAGGCAAATAATACGATGCGCTGTGTCCAGTTTATCAATGTCGTTGATGCCAGCATCTTAGTCAGTGTTTCCTGGTCTTCATCAACATCCCAGTACAATGACACTGACTGAAGACTCTGCCAGAGGACGAGACAATAAGAGGCTAAAATACTGATTCTTTGTGAGAAAATTTCTCCGAAAACTCATAGCCCAGTGTGCTAATCAGTAACTAGCAAAATGATCCGTGAGTTTTAAAGCTCACCTGCCATGGGTTGAACCCTATCAGCTCTGTGATTTTATGAAATTTATTTATTCTGAACTAAAAAAATACAGAAATCTCCAATTTATTATATTTAACATACAACTATTTATAACTATAATCAAAGATATTTTACTGTAATTTGAATAACATTACATAAGAACATCATGTTCTAATAAAAATTGTATCACTTCATCGACACCATGCCCAGCCCTTCTAGGGTAGGGTAGGGTAGGTGCCCGAGCCAGAGCTTGCAGCTCACAAGACTGTCATTCCCATTAGCCCCCTTGTGGCGGGGATGGCAGACCAGAGAGGTCTAGCTTGTGGCTAGTCCTGGGGACAGTTGATCCCAAAGATGAGGAGGTACTTGTGCCTCCTCCCATGGGAGACTTAGGTCTCAGACACTCCCTAAAGAGGGAGCCAAGGCCGGGCCACCACTTGGAAAAGGCCCGGGCCGGGAGAATACCGGCGAATGTTTAATAATAATAATAATAATTAATTGTATCATTTCCCTATGAGTGTTTATTATATATATATATATATATATATATTATATATATATATATATATATATATATATATATATATATATATATATATATAATATATATATATATATATATATATATATATATATATATATATATATAGTACCACCTCTATAGCTGGAATGGGGACCCTCATCCTCAGAGAAGACAATAAACGTACCTCAGGGAAAACTCAAGGTTCTCCCCGGAGCTGTTTGAATATTTTCTTCTCCTACCACCCCCTATATTTTTTTGTTCTATGTGAACATTTATTAATAAACAAAATACATTTACAGAAAAAAACATAAACATGAATACAATGGCACAATGTATCAAAGATCATGAATTTCCTCCAGCTCCTCCGAGGCTGGACGCGAGCCAAGTATGCAGCAAGCATTTCCCCTCTGGATGGCGACGCTGAGGCGCTGGAACATGAAAGTGGCTGCCCTTGGGTCCCTGGTGGTGTCGATGAGTCTGGAACCCAATTCTTTAAGGAAACGTGTGGCATTTTTTCCCCATGATCCCAAGGTCTCTGATCCCACTGGGACAAATTGATACTGTTGGCTAATGTCCCTGTACTTGCTGATCTTGTACTCCTCCCTGTGGTCAGCAGCTCCTTCCTGTCGCCCCACACTGTGATGGATATAGGTGTCAGCCAGTGTGGACACACAGGTATAGTCCCATGCTAAGAGCTTGCCATTCTTCCAAGGATAGATGGTGATCCCGTCGGGGCTGTTTGCTGGGTTGTGGGTATTGTTTGCTGCAAGGGATCGTGGCTCCCTCTCTGCAGGGCATCCAGCTGTAGCAAGGGTTCTCTTAATGATGTCGTTGACCTCATTGTGTCTTGCATGCCAGCCCTTGGTTTTGGAACAGTAAAGACCATGTAGACCGTATTGGTCTGTTTGCACTTCGCCGCAAATACACATATATTCTGTGTGAATTGGGGCAGCAAGGCGCAGAGCCACTGCAATACGGAGGGTCTTAGGGTCGAGTCGCGTTCCCATTGCCGATATGGGAACTGTTTGGAGGAAGTCCCTGGAGTGATGTTCACTCACAGCCTGGAGACGGGCAATCTCCCTATCTGATGTTGCAGCCCTGAGCATGTTGGCAAGCACCTTTTCAGCAATTGGGCCATCCCAGCGTGACTGTTTGTGAGCCAGTGCTGCACTAGGGTTTGGTGCTGGAGCAGCAAGAGTCTCCCATTCGATGATGGCACTGGCATAGCTAGGGTCTTCTATTCCTGCTGAGTCACTGAGGGTGTCAGGAAGAATTTGTCTTATCAACTCGTTTGATGCAATGGAAGAGGACAGGAAAGCTGGTAGAGCAATCTGGGAGGATCTACGTACTCCTAGCCCTCCAAGCCTAACCGGAAGTGAGGCTTGCAACCACTGTCCATCGTCAAGGGAAAGATTCAATACACTCTCTAGCATGGCCTTCAGGAGAGAGTCATATTCCTTGAGTTTTGGACTGCTGAAGGCTGGGGAGCATCTCAGAAAATAGGTAAGTTTTGGGATTGACAGGCACCTGGTGAGTAGGTAGAAGGCATCGTGTGTGTCAGTGTCTTTCATCCTGCTTTCCATCGTCCGGAGGTCGTGCCGAATAGGCAGAACTTGCGATCTTGGCTTAAATAGCAATGCTCATCTTGCCATATAGGACAAGTGAAAATTTTTGTATGCAATAATTTCGCCAAAATCATTCTGAACCTAACGAAAAATATATATTTCACTGTGTTTGTTTAGTATTAAATTATTGTAAGCAAATCTAAAATATATTTAGTTGGGTTAGGCTAAAATAAATTGTTCTTGTTATAATAAGATTAGGTAAGTTTTCTAAGATTCTTTTGGTGCAAAATTAAAATTTTTTACATTAACATCAATGAAAAACATGTATCTTTAAACGTATAAAAGAAAATTTTAGAAAGGATTTAATTTTAAATGAGTTCTTGCTAATTGGCCAGTTTTACATATTCGGCACGGCATATATATATATATATATATTATATATATATATATAATATATAATATATATATATATATATTATATATATATATATATATATATATTTTATATATATATATATATATATATATGTCGTGCCGAATAGGCAGAATTTGCGATCTTGGCTTAAATAGCAACGCTCATCTTGCCATATAAGGCAAGTGAAAATTTGTGTATGCAATAATTTCGCCAAAATCATTCTGAACCTAACGAAAAAAATATATTTCACTGTGTTTGTTTAGTAAATTTAAATTACTGTATACAAATCTAAAATATATTTAGTTGGGTTAGGCCCAAATAAATTGCGCTTGTTATAATAAGGTTAGGTAAGTTTTCTAAGTTCTTTTGGTGCAAAATTATAAAATTTTTACATCAACATTAATGAAAGAAATATATCTTTAAACGTATAAGAGAAAATTTAGAAAGGACTTAATTTTAAATGAGTTCTTGCTAATTGACCAGTTTTACATATTCGGCACGACATATATATATATATATATATATATATATATATATATATATATATATATATATATATATATATATATATATATATATATACATATATATATATATATATATATATATATATATATATATTATATAATATATACATATATATACATATACATATATTATATATAATATATATATATATAAATATATATATATATAAAATATATATATATATATATATATATATATATATATATTTTATATATATTTTATTATCACACCGGGCCCATTCCCACCAGGCAGGGTGGCCCGAAAAAGAAAAACTTTCACCATCATTCACTCCATCACTGTCTTGCCAGAAGGGTGCTTTACACTACAGTTTTTAACTGCAACATTAACCACCCTCCTTCAGAGTGCAGGCACTGTACTTCCCCATCTCCAGGACTCAAGTCCGGCCTGCGGTTTCCCTGAATCCCCTTTATAAATGTTACTTTGCTCACACTCCAACCGCACGTCAAGTATTAAAAACCATTTGTCTCCATTCACTCCTATCAAACACGCTCACGCATGCCTGTGGAAGTCCAAGCCCCTCGCACACAAAACCTCCTTTACCCCTCCTCCAACCCTTCCTAGGCCGCCCCCTACCCCGCCTTCCTTCCACTACGGGACTGATACACATCTAGAAGTCTTCTGTTTCGCTCCATTCTCTTACATGTCCGAACCACCTCAACAACCCTTCCTCAGCCCTCTGGACAACATTTTTGTAATCCCGCACCTCCTCCTAACTTCAAAAATACGAATTTTTCTGCATTATATTCACACCACACATTGCCCTCAGACATGACACTCCACTGCCCCCAGCCTTCTCCTCGCTGCAACATTCATCACCCACGCTTCACACCCTATAAAAGCGTTGGTAAAACTATACTCTCATACATTCCCTCTTTGCCCCCAAGGACAAAGTTCTTTGTCTCCACAGACTCCTAAGTGACCCCCTCACTTTTTTCCCTCATCAATTCTATGATTCACCTCATCTTTCATAGACCATCCGCTGACACGTCCACTCCCAAATATTTTGATACGTTCACCTCCTCCAATATCTCTCCCTCAATCTGATATTCAATCTTTCATCACCTAATCTTTTTGTTATCCCCATAACCTTACTCTTTCCTGTATTCACCTTTAATTTTCTTCTTTTGCACACCCTACCAAATTCATCCACCAATCTCTGCAACTTCTCTTCAGAATCTCCCAAGAGCACAGTGTCATCAGCAAAGAGCAGCTGTGACAACTCCCACTTTGTGTGTGATTCCCTTTATCTTTTAACTCCACGCCTCTTGCCAAGACCCTCGCATTTACTTCTCTTACAACCCCATCTATAAATATATTAAACAACCAAGGTGACATCACACATCCTTGTCTAAGGCTACTTTACTGGGAAAAAATTTCCCTCTTTCCTACATACTCTAACTTGAGCCTCACTATCCTCGTAAAAACTCTTCACTGCTTTCAGTAACCTACCTCCTACACCATACACTTGCAACATCTGCCACATTGCCCCCCTATCCACCCTGTCATACGCCTTTTCCAAATCCATAAATGCCACAAAGACCTCTTTAGCCTTATCTAAATACTGTTCACTTATATGTTTCACTGTAAACACCTGGTCCACACACCCCCTACCTTTCCTAAAGCCTCCTTGTTCATCTGCTATCCTATTCTCCGTCTTACTCTTAATTCTTTCAATTATAACTCTACCATACACTTTACCAGGTACACTCAACAGACTTATCCCCCTATAATTTTTGCACTCTCTTTTATCTTTTATATATATATATATATATATATATATATATATATATATATATATAATATATATATATATATATATATATAT